AATTAAGTTTATAATAAAAGAGCTTTGCAATTAGTACACGTTTTCTTGCCTTGTCAAAATGATCTCCATTAAAACATCTCATCCCCATTGAGAAGAACGTCTGGACAAAACAAACATACAACTGTTTGTTTTCCCATAAGCCGACGAAATGTCGACGAAGCCGTTTCATTCTCTCCTTCAAGATCTTTAATGTACACAGGGAGTTCTCTGGGAAACTTAGTTCAGGAAGAGGAAATGTGCTTATTTAACTGGAGCGCGTGCGTCCGATCGAGACAACAATGGGAGAACCCAGTCTAATTAGTGTATTAGAAAATGTCCTTGATTGCATTCATTGTGCACAATTTTGTTTATTTATTTTAATCTACATCTATTTCCGGGAGAGTTTTTTTTACAAATTAAAGATAGCAGCACATTCTGAAAACTTTGGATGGATTAATTGGAATTGATGAAGACCAGAAGCACAATGATGGAAACAAAATCTGAATTCACTAAACTATAAATAGCCAAGACACCCCAAAAAGGGTTTTACACGTTCACAACTTCCTGAGCAAGTTTTCCATAGACAAGTTATACAACCTTTATAAAACTGAAAAGATTCGGAAACAGCACTCAAACATGCACACTGTATGTACGAGTTTCTAAACTTTAATCAACTTTATTGCATTGAAAAACACAAATATATACTGTGAACTCTGTGGAAAAGGTGGAGTTTACAAGAAGCACAGCTGATATGCACACAGCTGATAGACACATGGTTCACATGGGACATTTAAAGTTCATTGGCAGCCACGTGCTGGAACGCAGAAGAGAGTCGGCCTTATCGTCCTGCAGCCGCTGGGCGCAGCGATTAGCAGGTTATCTCCCATCCTGCACTGGAGGCTCGGCCCTGAGCTGAGACAGGAAGGAAGGCCGGGGCAGTGACTCAGTGGCTCCGGGCCACACAGCAGAGAAAAAACGCCAGCGATAGGTTCCCCCGGTCCACCGAGCCATTCTGCACGATGGAAAAACACACAGGGTCCCGCAGACATGAGCAGCATATCAAACACATCCCAAAGAATGAGGAGGGGAAGGTGGGGGCTCCAGAGAGGGGGACAGGAACGACTGTTTACTGGGGAACCCTCCCAAGCCCTCCGCGTGAGACCACTGGTTGGTTGGGCCGCGTCTCTTTTTGTGCATCCTCTGTTCCGGGATGTGCAGCGCGCAGCACTACAAAAGCAGGTCTTGTCAGTATCGCTCGATCGGTCTCTGCTGAGCCAGCCGGGCTGCACGGTTTGCATCATGCTTTCCACATTCAAAACCGGAGGGATGATTTTCAGACATCAAAGTGAATGTGAAGCAACTGGATGATTGCTTTGAAACTACTTTCGCAAAACAAACGCCATGAAGCGGGCTTTAGGTTTCGCTGGCAGGATTTTTCAGTTCAAATAAGACAATGCAGGTTGACTCGGTTTATGCCTTAAAGACCTCAAATCTGATACTCATGCAATGCCAAAGGCCTGCAGAGCCGAGCCAGAAAGGGGTCCGGCCATTCCAGGATTCTTCTTCAATTTCTACCACCGTCCCAGGTTTAGTTTATACGCTTTCACTAGTTTACATTGTGCCAAAAGGATTGGCCGAATTTCACTTTCGGGTTATTAGGCTCAATGCTTCTGTGGAAGTATGTAATGTAAGACTTACAATGCCATGCGGTTCCTATAGAGAAAGCGCCTCTTGGTTTATGTCCCCTCTGGCTTTTCAGTCAAATTAAACGCTGCTTGTCAGGAATGCCCCCTCAGCACTCCCGCTGTTCCTTCACTCACTGAACTCTACACCCGCGCTAAATCAACACTCGCTCCGCCTCACACCTTTCTGGTGCAACTCCTTCCAATAAGTCTTGGTCCGCAATTACAAAAATCCTCTACACTCTCTGCTTTTCGGCAATATGTAGATGATTTGGGGCCGCTGTCTTGGCAAAGTCAAAATACACATTGGAATAGTCTATCAATTAGCTGGAGATGTTTGGCTCCTGTTTAATGGAACAAACAGTAACTCTCATCTGCATGCAGGATTGGACCAGTCCCATCCATTCAGAAAGAAAGAAAAGCTCATCCTCCTCGTTCCCAATGAGGATTCAATGAGGTGTGAATATTTAGCAATATTTACACACAATGTGCATTGTTACCCCGCTCAGAAGTAGTAAAACCATCATTGTAATTAGTTAAAAACTCCCCCAGCAGAATCATCAAAGGATGTTATATCCAAACTGTATGGGAGGACAAAGGGTTTCAATGACTTCTCTGCCTAAGACTGTAATGAAGTCGGGCCACTGGGAGCTGTCTGTCAGTACAGAAACCGCCAAAGATGTCAGAACGGGGGCCAGTTGCATTGTGTTCATCTTTCCTTAACGGAAGCAAATGATACACTCTTTGGATTTGTTCTGTAACTCAGACGAACATGTTACAGGATCCATCCGCCGTGACCGCTTCAGCTTGTCTCAACCGCTGTGCTCCGAACGGCTTGTTGTGATGAACTGGTTGTTTACAAGTAAATGTGACTTATAAAAGGCCAACTCTGATCGAAGACAACATATTAACTTTTTTTATGTTTATGTTTTATACTTTTTTCAGCCTCAAATACTTTTTCAGAAAAAACAAAACACAATCAGAACTTCCCACACAAGGGGACATTTGTGTCAGTAAAACATCTTTGCTTTATTACTGATGCCGGTGAGTGAAAAATAACAGCATTCCTCAGGCACCGTTTAAATTACTGCTTCTGTCTTTTGTGTAAACTTTGTCTAAATGTGTGCAGTGCAGAACCCAGCCGAGGGGATTGAGGTTGATAAACAGCTTGGACTAAAAATAAATGTTTTCCTGACTTTTAGTAAATGGTGCAAGAACATTTCTCATGTGGATTTAGTGTTTGCTTGTTGTAGAGTCAAAGTCACGGAATAATTCTTCATGGCCCATACTGCTGCAGACGACAGAAGGCTGAATGTGTTCTTTATAATTACTTAAATGAGGGGGCGTCCCTTCATTATCACCACAAGAAAAAGTAAAAATGCAGATGTTGGTATGATTCCAGTACCAGGAAAGTTTGAACAATTACTTTCAAATCAAAATGTTCCATCAACATTCCCAGGCCACGGAGATTGATTTGGCTGTAATTGTGGTGGTTAAAATGTATTTTTCAGAATGCCTCCATACTAAGAGACTTAATTATATCCTCTCCTACATGACAAGATCGAACGGAGTTTACAATTCGACACATTACTGCACTGGAACTCTCATTTCCACTTTCTGCTTTATTGAAGGATTAAGTGACATGAGTATGGTCAAATTGTCAATTCCATATAGTGCAAACATATGGCTTAGACCTTTGAGAGGCTGTGTAGATGTTACTGTTATGTAGAATGTGTATTAGTGGAAAACCCATTGGAGTTCTACTCCTGGGATCCACATTCAAAGCGAACACATGACTTCTTGCACAAAACAATTAAATTACACTTCGGTGGTCGGTCGCGTGGCCCTTCTGACAGAGCTAAATGGGTATAATGGAAAAGCCCAGTTTATGGTTTTTTCTTTATTTCATTTCCACACACCTTAACAGCAGTTCCCGTTCACCTGATAAGAACTCTTCATTCCTAAAGGCAATCTTATTGTCTGCTTTCAACAGTAATCAATACTTCTTAATTTGCAAGGAAAAGGATTCAACTTGCCCCATGATAAAAAGGTTCAATACACATATTTAGCTAGTTAGTTAAAAAATGCTTTACCAGTAGTAAAACATTATTTAGATGTGGACATAAAAAAATTAAAACAAAAAAGGTTTCCCTTTTTTAGTCATTGGATCATCATGAAATTAACCATTGAACAACAAATGACTGCATCTTCAAGCTCAACTAAAGCACATAACAAAGGGAAGGCTGTAAACGGCTGGAAAGAGACTTACATTTTGCTTAGTGGCAACAAAAAGCGTCAAGCGTTGCATAGCTTCATTATATTGGACAGAAGGCAGACATCTGGACGGCTGGTATCTCCAAAACTAGGCAACCCACACGAGAAGAAGGTAGACGGATGAATGGCAATACAGGTATAAAAGGAGAAAAAATGGACCTTGGATTTCGGGTTGAACTGTCCCTTTAACTTCCAATTAATCTATTCTCTAACAGCACAATCAACACTTGGGGTGGGCCATGTTTAACATTTAATAAACAGATCAACTCTGCTGTCAGCAGCAGATTAGATCACAGTAAAATCCTTCCTGTCTGTTAAGGGTTTGTAGAGAACAGTTAATGCTTTTAGTTCTTCTTATCTTGCCTATTACAAATTCTGAATGCTTTATCTCTCTTGTTGAGTGCCAGTAGTTTGCCACTCATAATTAGTTGTGTTTGTCTTGCAATTATTTTTTTACTGTTTCCTACGTTTACAGTTTTATATGCACATGTACTTTTATTAATTCAATTACGGATAATCAGCATTTTTAAAATGTGTACGCCAGTCAACATTAGTTGTGTTTAATGGTCTATAAATTGACTTAAACTGACTTTACTAACTAATTCTTCAATAAAAAAAATACTGTCTTTGACCATAAAGCACCAAAGAGCCATGAATAAACTCCATAAACATTTTAGATGGAGAGATAACAAAATCTATCCCAAATCTCAAAAATAAATATATTTGGGATCTTTTACTAAGCATATGAGCAGAATAAGAGGAAGCTATACCTTCCATATTTACATTTGTGTGTGGAACGAACATTTATGACATGCTTCTATTAGAAACCTATTAGAGACCTATAATTATCCAATTGTTACTCACTCCACCGCCCTATTGCTTCCTAATAAATGTGAAAGATGCATATCAAATGAATAAATCAAATAAATGTAAAGATGAACGAAGCCAGCCACCCACTCGTTCGTCCACTACTCTCCGTTCCCATCTGCTGCAAAGCGCAGGTGCGGCTCCATCATTCGCTGCGCGTCTGGGAGGGGGAGGGGTTTAAGCAAACCGGGTCACGCCCCCTCCACTACAACGCGGTGTGTCGGCTCCGCGCCTCAGAAGGGGAAAAAAGAAAAAAGAAATCCAAAGGAGCGCACAGCCCGTCAGTCACCGTACACTGGTAGTCAAATATGATCCCGAGAGGAGCGACTTCAACACTCCGGACAACAACTCTGCCGCGAATAATTCACAGAAACTGAAATCTCAGATCGTCGCAGACGCCTTGTGCTGGTTGAATTGTTCTCTCTGGTCCATTCTGGTACACTCTCCCCCCCGTCTCTCTCTCTCTTTCTTCTGCGCTGGATCTTTCGTGCCAGAAAATGTGCGTGGAGGGCGATGGATGCGAGATCGAAGGCTGCAGCAGTTCGGACGAGGTGCGCACGCTGTCGGGCAGCATGAGTCCCGCTCTGAATTCCAGCCCGGACCTTCACCCGTGCAAACCGGGGCACAAATTCCGCGCCGCGCTGCTCAGATGCCGCTCACCGGCCGCCGCCGCCGGGATACTCAGCTTTGGCAACGTCCTCAATTACATGGATAGATACACTGTGGCCGGTAAGTGACCCATACGTGACTTCTCCCTTTTATTGTGTTTATGTTCATCTCACGGGCTCCCAGCAAAACGCCGCAGAGCAGCTCCCCCCGGTCTGCGCCGGAGTGGTCGTACGTGCGCTAATTGACGGTGAGCCGGCAGAGCGGCCGGCGCACCGCGGCGCACACGGGCGGAACAATGGGAGCTCTCGCCGAGCGCAGCGCACGGAGTACCTGCTACACCCGCAAGGCTGTGTAGGTGTTTCAGTGGGTGTAGACTTGGGTGCGCTGCGATGGAATCAATCAAAATACCTTGTTACCAATCGAGAAGAATACGGGACGGTAATGTTTCTTTTCCCGGAGCTGCTACAAGAACTGCAGATCGATCAATTGACGTGCGCGTGTGTTTGTGCGTGCATGCGGGCTTATCTGTCAGATGAGTTTCGGCACTGCAAATTGAGAGAGAGCGAGGGAGAGAGAGAGAGAGGGGGAGAGAGAGGGGGAGAGAGAGGGAATCGGTCATTAGTTGATCTTGGTCCATCTTCATCATCTGCGTGTGTTTTGTGCGGCAGCTCGCTGTGTGACGCTGTGATGTGGTCGTCCCGCTCAGCGTAGCCGAGATCTGCCCCATGGTTTGTTAAAACTGAACGCTGTGCACGGGTTGAAATGAAGCGTGTGTCTTGAGAGGGTGATACAATGTGAAAAGTGCATCAAATGATGGAGCTCCTCTTACATTGATTGTTACTAAACTGATTATAAACGTTTTAAAGCCAAAGTAGACCTCAGTGATATTTTAAAGTGCAGAATGTTTTTTTCTGTTGAACACTGCAGAGAAATGCCAGACAGAATTATATTATTAGAATATTCCATTTCCTTACTCACACCAGAAAGGTATTTCATTTTAGTTGCTTATTATGATTTCTCACAAAGCAAAAAATAGTGTAACCAAAGTGAAAACATTCGGCCAGGTTAATCTTTTTTTATCTTCATGTTATTTTTTACAAATATTTGGTGACTACAGCACTTATCAAGGCTTGCGCATCGGACTGTGGCACTGAATGGGTTAACGATATTGCTGCAACATGGAGAATGGAGGGAAGCATGTACACAGGGAGGGTATTCACCTCTGTACAAAGAGATCCCCTTCTGGTTAAAGTGGAAGCCATTACATTCGTTAGTACATTCATTTTTTTAAACTTACATGACATAGTCAAATAACAGAAGTCTACTGGAAATTCAGGTATTTCTCCTTTTACCTTTTCACCCATTAACTCTAGCGAAGCATATCTGCCATCAAGATGTCCAAAATGGATAAATCAGGGTCAAAGTAATGGCGGAATTTCACTCTGTAGCCCCTGGTCGAACGAAGGAGTGGCTAATCCAAATGGAACAATGTGTACACTCTAAGTAGCCACGTGCCTGCGGCTCATTGCCCTGAGGGCTTGAAGTCCGTTCTGCATTGAGTAACGCTGCGCACCCTTGGGCACCTGAGCCATCATTACGGCAGGAACGCTCTAGCAGCTATCTACAGCCAACTATGTGTTGACGTGGGGGGTGAGGGGAGGGCGGGCTAATCCACCAGCAATCATCAAGCTCCACTCGGCCTCAGCAGATGGATGAGAAGTCCCATCCTCATCCTCACTCGCCGATGCGTCAGACTCCTTCTGCGTTATTGCGTCTTGTACTCCTGTCTCCGTGCCCCTCGTTGGGCTTTGATCAGAGGAAACCCCTCATCAAGGGGCTTGCAAAAAAAAACCTGCTCTATTCTCCTCCGTCCTCCCCAGTGTGACCCTTCCACATGTGCCCTTTACACCTCACCAGATGCACGTCAGAAACCCCCCATGCAAAGTAGTTGTCCGGTGCAGGAGGATGGCCGGCTCACCGGAGATGTGGGAGCAGGGTGGAGGAAGGGAGCATGGGATTGGGATTGGTGTCGGCAGGGGAGGAGGGGGGGGGGGGGGTTACAGCAGCCCAACTAACCCTCCTCCCTATTCTTCCTTGTCCTTGCCACCTGAACGCCGCCGGGCCGTTTTGCATTATGCATGGCCCGGCTTATGCCGCGGACTCCTCGCAGAAAGAGGACCAGCAACCATGCACATCCAACGCAACAATTACATGTACAGCACAAACTGATCGGCCATTCTCCTCCCTTCTCTGTCCGAGCCGAGAGAGGTTTCCTCTCCTGCTCTGGGAGCTGCATCGGAGATTTGCTGATCGTAAAAATGGGACATTAATCTTAAACCTTGTCTCTTCCTGATGGGATTTCTGAGCGATTGCTAGTGGAGTTGAGTGTCAATTTGTCAGCTTTCCATTCACACCACCTTGCGCTCCATCTCGTTAGCTCTGTGTCTCCTCCTCTTCTGTCTAATCCTTTTGCTCTTCCGCTTCCCCAGCTACCTTGTTCTCTTTCTGCAGCAGCAGGTACCTAAAACTCATAGATCTTAATGTCGATTAAGCTGGCATGGGCGCACACACACAGTAGAAAAGACTCTCCCCACCATTTCTCCAAGAAGGGCTGAATGAGAGAGGGGAGTAGTTAGGGGAGGGGCCGCCTGCTGCAGTGGCAGCCGGTCAGAGGGAAGTGGACGCAGAATGATCGAGCGATGCTGTTTTCCCCCCACGTCAAAAGGTCTTTGTACCGACGGCCGTTACTGTAGCGTGCATGGATCACTAAAGCATTGTCACACAGACAGAGGGCGACCATTCCAGACACCGGGACTATTCTGCTCCACAACAATGAGGAGAAGATTGCACCAACCAATGCACAGACTTGGATCTTTCTGTTGATCCCCAGTGTCAGAGGCTGAAGCCACACACACACACACACACACACACACACACAAACACACACACACACACACACGTACGTTAATGAAAATACGTTTCTGATTATGAACCAAAAATACAACTAAAAACTTGCTCTGCTTATATGTAAATGTCAGTATAGTATTGGATTGGATATTTTATGGATTTACATTTTTAAAACGTTTTTATAAAGATGCTTTTAAATGGTAATGAAATGGATGATTTATTTTCATTATTTTATCTGATTGTTGTAAATAAAGGTAATTACATGCAAAGAGTGTATGGTGATCCCCTTGTTGCAAAACCAGCAACGTCTTAAATCAATGGAATGAGAAACAAAAAAGTACATCGTGGAAACTCTAAGAGGACGGGGGCTCAGGTGTCTCAACTAAAATCATAAAACTGATTTATGGCAGCTGACCTGTCGGACAAACAACGGCCGTTCTCGGAAAATGTGGCTCCGCCCACTCAGCTCGCTGTTGTAACGCTCGGAGTTGCCACAGATTTACTCACGACCGCCACAGACTTGCCATTGCGTGCCAGTGCCACAAGGAGGATCTCGGCCCTGCTGCCAAACTTACAATATAACAATAACAATATTCATATGTTATGGAGTTGCCCGAAGGAAAGGGATCTGTTTCAGACACACGCAAGGTCTAAATGGAGGTGTAAAAAAAGTCGGCTAAATGCAGTGATCTGGACTTCAGCCCCAGATGTTTAGCCTGAGCGGGGAATGCTCGGGTCAGAAGCCTGAGCTTTTTTTTACTGCCATCTGTGAAGCAGGCACACATGAGGAGAGTCTGGGATGTTTCAGTGTGTCCTGGTACTCACTGCTCAGTGTCTTCCAGAATAGCAATGTGCAGTCAAATTAGATTGAGATTGGACAATGCAAGAGTAGAGCGGGATGAGTCACAACGCTCCGGTTGGGCCACTAGTATTTGGCCTTTGGAAGACGCCATTAAAACCGCAGACACTTTCATTCATATTCCATTTGCTTTTTTCGAGTGCAGCTCTGAGATTTAGAAGGCCACCACGTTTAATTTAATTTGAGGTGGTTTTGGAAGCGTAAATCCCCGTGCCGGTCTCTGCGTAGACCCACAGCAGACAGTCCCAGCTACTCGACAGCTTATCATAAAGAGGGGATTAAGTGTTTCTTCAGAGAATATGAGGATATAAGAGGCAGACACTCAGCACTTAACGTTATCTGCTTCTCGGTAAGTAAGTACACCCTGATCACCCAACTCCAGTCAACCCCCTGCGCGCGCCCAGAGTCACCCCTCCTCAGCCACCGTTGGGGGCAGTTTCGGGGGTGTACCAACTGCAGCCTAATCTGTGGTGAACAGAAATGTTGGGGAGCCGCGGATTAGCTGAGTTGTCTTAGTCAAGCTGTCATTCTGGGAATACCAGAAGAAAAAAGATAAAACAGGGTCTCATCCAATTGGACAATGGCAGGACCCTCGCATGTGAACTTTTGGCATCTTGCATTAAGACACAGATGACCCGTGTGGCAATAATCCTCTTAAAGCCAGCTCCGGCGCTCTGTTAGTAAAATGTAGAAATCTATCCTGTCTGACTGGCTATGCAGATTCATTCCTGATTGCTTTGTCCACTTACTTTGGGGTTCCTCAATATTACCGTTCAGAGAAGCCTCTCTTGAGCCCTAGCATGTCCTCATCAGCAATGGCAAGGGAAATGCTGAGCTGATTTTTTTGTCACTTTTTTCATGTTTTGCCAGTCTGTTGTCACAACATTCAGCTCACTTTCTGGGTTGGACGTGCACGAGGTGAAAGAAAAGGGCACCACTTTCAGTTCCACAGAGACTCGGGGAGAAGAGAAGTGAAGACAGCATCTGTGTCTGTCAGGGACATTTAGGAATAAAGCAAATTCTACAAAAAAAGAAAAGTAGAAGAACAACGTATGCTGTTTGAAGTCCCTGCAGATTCTTCTCAATGACATGGAGCGTTGGAGTGGAATACGTAAGGATGATCATACAGGAAATGCCTCCACAGTTCTAAACTGTGTGGTCCGTGATCAAATCACTTCATGGGGTCGCTGCATATTTCTTCCCATGTTTTATTCATCTGATGTGAAGCTGTTTTGAATTAGACGTTTGAAACATCACAAGATTGCGTTGCGTTGTCTTTCGACTTCTTTCAAAATCTTTTATTTCCCGGTTGACAGCTAAATATTGACCCTATTCGACAGATGTTAAATTGAAA